TTATATTTCTTCTTGTTCTGTATTCAAGATACAAATAAGTAGCACTAACTATTTTATTTCTCTCTTTTTTTATATATATGAATTCTGCTCTATTTCTATTACTAATGTTATGATTGTATTCTTTATGCAATTGAATTTTTATTACTAATAGACTACTTGTCAATATTACTATATAATTCATGCATATATCATTATTACATGTTAATCATTATTATAATTCCAATCCTTCCATCGTGATCATATGATTACGTGATTATATGATTATGTGCTCATGCATTTTGTACATATATCATTGATCGAACATCTAACCCTTATACTCCCCTTTACTCAAATTAAACTCCTTCTCTTCTTTGAACACCTTTACTAGCTTGTCACAATTTTTAAGGTTTTTTACAGATTCCCAAGTAGTATCATATAACAAATAACCCTTCTATTTCACAAGATATTGAGGTTGACAATAGTAAGTATGTTTTTCTAATATGCTTTCAACCTCATATTCTTGTTCAGCATCTTGTTCTATTAATAAGAGTGGTAGAGGTATGGTAATATCCCTATTCTCGAACTCATTTGCATAATAAGTCTTCAGCAAGGAAATATGGAATATTGGATGAATACAAAGGGTGTCAGGTAGCTTTAAACGATATACTGTGGTTGATACTTTTCAGATAATTTTAAACGGTCTGATAAACTTCACAGTGAGTTTCTTTGATGGTCATTTTAGGTTTTCTGGAGTTGTGAAATTTGTTGCATCTAGCATCACTAAATCTCTTTGTTCAATTCTAGATGATGCTATTTTTTATTGGCTTGAGCAGTTTGCTTTTCTTGAATGCATACCAATATATTCTTTGCAATATTCAACATTGTCGCCCAATGGTCTAGTAACTCCTGTGCAGCTTTCATATTCGTTTGTTTAATTTTATCAAATATTAGATTATATGGAGTAATTGGGTAATAACCATTATCTAGCTAGAATAGAGTGAATCCTGTAGATGCTTGTGTTGAATTGTTGTAGAAAAATTCAGCAGCTGTTAATATTTCATCCCAGTTATTTTGTTTGTAATTCATATAAGCACTTCCTTAAACACAC